AATGTTGCAAATTATGCTTTTGATATTTTTGTTAGGCTATAATTACCATCATATAGAAATTTATATGTAATATCAACTTTAATTGCTTTAATAAAATCTCTCTTTTTTATAATATAATAATAATAATAATAATAATAATAATAATAATAATAATAGTAATAATAAAACCTCCTCTTGACATTAAATAGATGGGACATGGGCAATAGCTAAAATTTTAAGATGTGTGTTATTATTTATTCTCACATAGTATATATTTTTATTTTTGTATTTATAATTAAAGTATCTTTATATTAGTTTTAAGATATTTCGAAACCAATCTGACATCCTCTCCCTAAACAATCTGAAGGACAGCACGTCACTTTTCTCTCTTAACAAATGACTTCAAATAAATAATGCAATCTAACTTACAGGAGCGGCTGAATTAAAAGGAAAAACACGTGACAACATTTCTTAGGTGCGAAATGAAAGCATAAGAGAGGATTTGGCTTCAGTGGTACTAACTTCAAAATTTCAATTTTAGGAGTTAAAGAAGCACTGATGTGAAAACCAAAAAAGAAGGTTTCTAATTGTGGGGTTGTTGTGGTTGAAGTCCTTTATAAATTTTGCAACCATGAATTGTCACTGGCCATCGCACGGTCCCGTTGGAAGGGCGTCCTCTATCGGGTATCTCTTTCACATCGGTTCTGTGTTCGAAGGTTGGTACAAATCCTTCTGCTAATGCTAGCATTGCCTGTTCTAATTATAGTGACACACATAATGTGTCACTAGCACTAGAGGTATTCTAAAATACCTCCTTTTGCCATTTAGCCATCTAGTAAAAACAAAAAGCTAAACTAAGTGAGTGCAAAATCTCCATGTTTGTTAGATGCAGAAAGCAGAATGCCAGATGAAATGTATTCTAATGTGCTTTTGTGAGTGCTAGCTGAATTTTTGGAGGTTAATAAAGACATAATCCTTAATGAGTTCTCCCAATACTCAAGTTAGAAGTTGAATTTGATATAACCTATAATAACTATTTTATAATATTACTTAATCACTGTATTAAAAGAAAAAATTGACTAATATGACAAGTAACACATAATTTATTACTCGGAAACTTAAAGCATTTCTTTTGAAGCAATGTTAACGAAATTTTCATATAATTTCGAGAAGTGTTAAAATTCTGGATAAAAAACAGGGAGTGAAAAGTTGTCCTTGAACTTGCTAAAAAAACTGAAGTGGGTACTGCAGTATAGACAGCTCTTCTTTAGGAGTGAACATGCCATTGCAAGCACCAGCCTTCCTATTGGCCAATTGGCTGAGCATTAGGACAAAGAATGCTCAAGTCATAGGTCCTGTGTTCGAAGGGTGGTCAGAGCATGGAACAACGGATATAGAGTATACTATGCATGAAAAAAGGTATTCCAAAATACCTTCACTTTTGCCTTTTTAACTTCTTTTCCAACTTATTTCATATGGAGGGGCAACTAAAAGAGGTTCTTGCTTGTCGTCAGAAGATACAGCATCTTCATATTGGTTAAATGTGCAAATTGTAGATGACATGACATAATGATTTTTGTGAGGGCATTAAAGATTGTTGAGTAAGAAAATTTCATATTGAAAATATAATAAATAAATATATAACTTAAATATAAAAAAAAAATTACTTATTTCATCTATTATCAATTGATTTTTCATTAAATATAAGCCCAAATTGCAAATCATTTCCTCTCTTATATTCTCTATATATTTCTTCCTTAAAAAGTGGAAATTTATTGGGGAAATAACTTATTAGAGTTACATCAATGTGTTTGGAATGCAAAAAAGCTTGCCAATTATTTTCACCTCTCAATGGTCTTATCCATTGGACATCTAACGTAAAATGGTTTGGTAGCTAGGCAACATGTTTAAACAAACTCATTTATCATGTATACAAAAAGAGTGTTTCTAGCGTGCTTCATTCAATTTTTAAAATGTTGTTGGAATTGCATCGTGAGGGTTGAGATTAATAGCAGTTTTTCGCCCTCTGCTAAACTTCCACAGCTGATAGCTCATCATTAATCATAAATATCAATCCATTTTGCTATAAGATTTTATTGAATTTATGGAAATGGGAAAGCTTTAGACTAATAATATAAACTGTTAGTATAGCCATGTAGTCAGGCATTAGACTTACCTTTACTTTTAACTATAAGTGCATGATTTAATTCTTAATCTTTATGTATGAAAAAAAAAAAAAAAAGAAAAAGAAAAAAGAGAGCTTAGCTATGTTGCTATTGAGTCAATTTTATCACTTTTGTGTTGCACTAGATGTTTCACATCTCAAATTTCGTTTTTACGATTATTTATATCCCATCTTTCTTAACAAATGGGTTCCTAAGTGATAGATGCTCACTTATTTCTTGTATATTTTTCTTATTTATTGGATTAAAAAAAAAAATTTACATGCAAACCTCATTGGTTCTGTGTTTAAGGAAAATATTTGTAAATATTACAAGGATGCCGTGGCACTGGCCACCCCACGGTCTTTTGGGTTTAGACATTCATTATTGAATGTGCGTACCTTATTGGTTCTGTGTTCGATGGCCGGTGATACTTCCGCTGTTTCATACTAACATATATTCATTCTACCATACGAGGTATTCCAAAATACCTTTTTTTCACTCTCAGCTTATTAGTAGTTGATTTTTAATTACAACTACAACTAATTTAGTAGTTCTAATATAAAATTATTAATAACTCTTCGAGCAGAGATTTACATTGACACCATATTAAAAGTTTATGCACTTTTTCCGATTTGAAAAATAATAAAAATATAGAAATCAAAAGTCCAAGCACCCCCACGTGAGAATAGAAAGTGGAGAGGTTATGCACTTTTTCCGATTTGAAAAATAATAAAAATATAGAAATCAAAAGCCCAAGCACCCCCACGTGAGAATAGAAAGTGGAGAGGTGAAAAGTGAAGGTATTTTAGAATACCTCTTTTTGTTCGTTAACTTAACGATCAATCTGTTCTTCCATTTCTCTTACCTGCCTTCGAACCCAAGACCTACTAAGTCAAGCATTCTGAAAGCAGATGCTCAGCCAGCAGGTCAAGGTAAGGGCTGGTGCGATTACCTGCTTTTGTTTTTTAAAAATAGTTGTCTGAAGTCTCTACCCTACTACCCACTGCACCGTAACACGCCCGGGGACAATAGCTATTGCATCCCTGTTAATGTCCAAATATATATTTTTTCGCTAGCAGTAAAAAGAAGAAACCACATTGCTTCAAGAGAAATGTTTGAAGTTTCAAAACGAAGAAACCATTGCCTCAAATGAAATATTTCAAGGTTTTGAGTAATATAAAACATCTTCCATGTAGAAAGCTTGCCTTTTGGAAACCATTGATGGATGTTTTCTCTAAAAAGTTATCCACATGGAAGGGCCGGTACTTGTCCCTTGGTGGTTGGATCACTCTTATTAATTTAGTGTTGTCCAGTCTCCTTGTTTTTTGGATGTCGTTGTATCTTATCCCAAAAAATATGATTCTATCCCTTGATAAAATTCGTAGAAGTTTTTTGTGGGGTGGGATAGAAGGTGAGAGAAGGATTAATTAGGTGAAATGGGAAAACGTTTGCAAGGATAAAGAAAGAGGGGGTATGGGTGTGAAAGATTTGAGGAAATTAAATATGGCTCTGTTAGGCAAGTGGTGGGGTAGAGTAGTGTCAGAGGAAAGAGGGTTGTGGAAGAAGGTCATTTATGAAAAATATGGTAAGGAGGGGATCCCTGATTATAATTGGCTTAGAGAGGGGATAGGTTATGGATCAATTTGGTGGAGGGATATATGTAGGTTAAATGTAGTAGATGAGGAGAATCAGGGGTGGTTAGTTGACAATTTGATACTAAAAGTAGGGGAAGGGGTTGATGAAAAATTTCGGTGGGATAAGTTGGGGGGGGGGGGGAGTGTATTGCTAATAAATACCCCAAACTTTACTCATTGTCTACAGGAAAAGACAACCAAATTTCTCAGATGGGAGAATGGGTGAATGGCTCCTGGAAATGGACTTTACAATGGAGAAGATGCTTGTACAACTGGGAAAAACAACAGGAAGCAGATCTGTAAAAGGAGATCCAAGACATTTCAATAAAAAAAGGAAAACCAGACTTGAGGGAGTAGATCCATACTAAGGATGGGGGATATTCAACGAGGACAGCTTATCAAACACTAACAAAGGAGCATAGATTGGAACAGCAAGGAACAATGCTCACAAAGTCTAGAATAATGTTCACAAAGTCTAGAATGTATACATCCCCAACAAGATTGTAGCTTTTTCATGGCAATTGTTACAAGACAAATTACCAACAAAACTTAATCTGTTAAAAAGGGGGATTATACATGATAATGTGGATTGTAAGTGTGTCTTATGTGGCTTGGAGAATGAGGATACCAACCATCTGCTCATCCATTGCAACTTAGCTTATAGCCTTTGGACTATGTGCTTTAAATGGTGGGGTTTAAGAACTATGTTGGACAAAGACTGTTGTAGGGTGTTTGAACAGCACACAAATTTGATAAAAATAACAAAGGAGAAGAAGGGTTGGGATTGCATTTGGTTCACTATTGTATGGACAATTTGGTTAGCAAGAAACGAGAAAATATTTAGATGGAAGGAGGCAGATAAAGGAAGACTTCTGGAGTTGGTTTAACTTAGAACATTCAACTAGATAAAGTGCAGAAGGGGAGGCTGTTTTTTCTCTTTGTTAGATTGGATCCATAACTTATCAGGATGCTTGAAAATTAACTATGGCAACAGGAAGAAGGTGAAGGGATTTGCAAACATCAGGTAGAAATTCACTCTAACTGGAATAGGACATTGATCCATTTTGGTGGGATGTATAGTGAGGGACCCTTTGTAGGACAATGCTAAACCTCTTGTAACGGGTTTGGAGTACCCCTTGTATTCTCAAAATAAAAACAGTTTTTGCTTTTCAAAAGAAAAAAAATCCTATTAAAAGATTGAATCCTAATCAACAAACTAAATTTTTAACAAGATGCTTTATAAGCTTAGTTATATAAAAACATAAAATGTACAAAGAAGAAGCTTAAAATTCTGAAGATCTTTTCCAAAACACCATGTTTGACTAAGCTTTTATTTTATTTTTTTTTTTTTTTTTTTTTTTTTAATCTGCTTTTATCATATGTCGTCCCTTCACCATTTAACTGCTCTCAAACTTTAGTCGACTAATGTCTCCAATTTTTATTTATTGCTTAAAAGTTTCAAAAAAAAAAAAAGGGGGGGAGGGGGGGGGGGGGGGCCGAGGTTTCCTAGTGAAATTAAGGGTTTAGTTGACTAATATCAATAATATTGTGAATAAATCATTATCATTCTCAAATTCCTTCCCAAGAGGCAGACTAAACAAACTGAGAAATGCCTATCAGATGTATCAAACGATTCAAACCCCATCAAGTCAATTTCGATAGTCCAAAATGAAGGTATTTTGAAATACCTCTTATTTAATTGCTTTGTTCTTGCTTCTTCCTTTCTTTCTGCTTACCAGCCTTCGAACCAAAGACCCATGGCTCAACTTTTGAAAACCAAATGTTCAGCCAGTAGGCCAATGGGAAGGCTGGTGATCATCCGTGCTTGTGCGATTTTAAAAATAGCTGTGCCACTACCCACTTCACTCTAGCATATACACAGCGACAAGCGACAATAACTGCTTAACCAGCACTCCTTACCTCTACCCAAAAAAAAAACGCCAGCACCCCCTGTCATTGATCTAGAATTTTGTACTTTTTGTCAACCTCAATATCTTTGTTAGCAGTACAATGAAGAAACCATTGCTCCAAAAGAAATGTTTGAACCATAAAAACGAAAAAAGAAGCTATGTATTGCCGCTTGTGTGAGTTGAACTTTTTTTTGGTACAACGATCAAGTGTTGTTATCATGAGTTTTTGAATCTAACTGTGGCCTTTATTAATCCACCATGGGAAATTTAA